TTTACATTTGGAGGAAAAGAAATTTAATCTCCAAACCCAGAAACGTTTCTTCACAATGAGAGCTGTGAAAATGTGGAATAGATTACCTCAAGAGTTGGTTCTGGCCAGCTCAGTGGATTGCTTTAACCACTTGCCTATAGGGCACTTATGCCCCCTTCCTGCCCAGGCCTGTTTTCAGCTTTCAGTGCTGTCTCACTTTGAATGACAATTGAGCGGTCATGCAACACTGTACCCATATGACCCAGCAATAAGACCCAAAAGAGAGAAATCTTGATAGTGTCTTAGGGATAAGGATACCTCTCATACCACTTGTTACCCACATGGTCCATGCATCTGACTATCGGCCATCTTTTTGGATTCTGTGAATCAGCTTTTCTGGATATCATTATGTAAGTGTGCTACTTGTTCTTTAGCAATCTCTTGAATAAAAATTACTACACTATCAAGATTTCTCTCTTTTGGGTCTTATTGCTGAGTCCCTAAGGTGATCTCCTGATATGAAAGCACACCACCCCGGGCGAAAGACGATATAAGGCAAATTCGTGTTACTGTAAGGAGGCGTACTCCCCCTGGTGGTAGGAGACGGCATGATTGATGCAAAGGTGTTCCTGAGGTCCCTTCGCTGATGATCTTTTGGCTGTGACCAGGAGTAGGTCATTATACTCCAATGCGCTTTTTTTGCGCTATCTGGTTAGTGCGTTTTGCAGCTATTCTCCTATCACGGAAGTCACGAATTTGATTGGCACACGGATGTACTTCTAATGACTCTAACATCCCTATCACTATATGCACTTTGTTTGGACGGATGAATTATTAATACTTACCCGTCCATTGTTTACATTAATTTGTACGTTTAATTTGGTGCATGTTATACCTTCATTGTATTTCTTTTAATTCTGATGTGCACACGCCAATTCTTCTTACTACATGCTCAAGCGCTGCATTTTTGCTGTTTTTAAGCACTCATATATGGCACTGCTAGGCGGCACTGATAGGTGGCACTGATAGGCGGCACTGACGGGCACTGATAGGTGGCACTCATGCGCACTGATAGGCAGCACTGACTGTCACTGATAGGCGGCACTGACTGGAACTGATAGGTGGCACTGATTGGCAGCACTGATAGGTTGGACTAACTGGCATTGATAGGTGGCACTGATAGGTGACACTGAAAGGCAGCACAGATGGGCACTGATATGTGAAATTGATGTGCACTGCTAGGCACTGATATGTGACATTGATAAGGCACTGATGGGCACTGGCAGGTGGCATTGATGAGCACTGACAGGTGGCACTGCTGGGGCTACACTGATGATCAGTGCCCTGATGATCAGTGTACATGTCCCCTCCGAGGAATGCTGATTACTGGCTCTCCTCTCGAGCTGTCAGCATGATTTCTCATGAGGAGAGAAATGCTGATAACCGGCATTTCCCTATTTACATGCGATCAGCTGTGATTGGACACAGCTGATCACATGACCGAGCTGACATCTTCAGCTCTTTCCGTTGATCGGTGACCACCGATTGCCATGCTGCGCTCTCCCAGAGTCGCGCACACGCGGTTAGAGTGGGTGGACATAATATGACGTCCTCCCAGAACGAGAGAACCACCTTGCGCCCGTCATTACCTTATATGGCGGGCGGGAGTAGGTTAAAAAAGGTCTGGATTCTTTCTTAGATACACAGAATATAACTGGATACTAACATTTATAGATAAAGTTGATCCAGGGAATATCCGATTGCCTCTCGGGGGATCAGGAAGGGATTTTTTTCCCTGCAGGAGCAAATTGGATCATGCTTTGCTGGGTTTTTTTTTTGCCTTCATCTGGATCAACTGTGGGTATAGGATTATAACTTTTTTTTTTTTTTAATGGTTGAACTGGATGGAGTTTTGTTTTTTTCAGCCAGACTAACTATGTAACTATGTGTTGGAAAGGACCTCTGAAGGACGAGCTCCAGCCATTGAAAGCTTACATTGTCGAAAGCTTTTTTGGCATCTAATGTAACTATGATTATGTTCTCAAGAAAGCTGGTCACTGCATGCTCCAAGACCGCAAGCACGTTCCTAATGTTAGAAGTTGCTGACCTGCCTTCTATAAAGCCAGCTTGTGCCAGATGTACAGTGGGTATAGAAAAGAATCACCCCCCTTTAAAATATTTACATTTTGTCGCTTTGCAGCCTGAAATAAAGACAGACATCATTTTTGTTTTATCCAGCTGTATTTACTCAGTGCAACTTATAACATCCAAGTGAAAGATATAACATCAACATGTCAGAAAAAAAAATAAGAAAAACAGAATCACTAAGTCAGATAAAGGATCACCTCCTTGTGTCAGTATTTTGTTGAACCACCATTTGCTTTAACTACAGCCTTTAGTCTGCTGGGATATAATTATCTAAATATTATTGCGCTATTGTGAAAATATATATAAAAAAAACACCCAATGTTGTTTTACTCATAACTAATAATAGGACAGTCAATGAATGCCAATATCCATGCACAAATCACCAAAAAGTGACCCAAAAAAAGTTCAAAGGAAACATCTCTCAGGGATCAAGATACATGTTAATATGTGTAATCATGTCCACCGTATTCATCAAGTTGTATGACCAAGTGACACGTGCTCTCCACCGCAAAACATATTGCCTCTTACTGGATAGCTAGACCCCAAATTATAGGTGGTCTAACAATACGTAATGCTGTACATGTTTTGCTTGATTAATTTCTCAGCATGGGGAAGGCGTTATGGTGGCCACAGTGAGTTTGTAAAACTCAGTTGTGTAACTGCCAGGGCCCAGAGCCTTGCCATTGGCTATTGTAAATATCACCTTGGTCACATCCTGGGTTGTTATAGGGACGTTGAGAAATTCTAAAAGAGTAGGATCTACTGTCGGGAGAGAGACTTAAAGGGGCTTCTGCTTCCCGTCGATTGGGTCTTTGCCATATAGATTTGCATAGAATGATTCCAGCATCTGATTGATATTTTTGGAAGATGAGGTGAGGCAGCCCTGAGCATCTTAAAGTGATGAGATATGGGTAAGTGTGTGGGGGTCCCTGCACAACCGCAAAGAAAAAAAGGAGGGTATAATAAATAAGACTGTATTGGTATGTACTCAAGAGATAAAACTATTATTTACTACTGATTCGGCCACATCTTAAGTATGCCATCCAGTTCTAGTCACTTGTCCTCAGGAAAGGATGTGTTGTAACTCAAAAGTGTCCAGAGAAGGGCAAAAGAGCCGATAAGGGGACAGGAGGACCTCAGTTCTGAGGAACGACTACAATCATTAAACTTATTCTCCCTGGAGAAGAGGCACTTAAGAGGAGATATAGAGCTATCCCAGTTGGAGATTGTGAAAGAATTGAATGAAAATGGGAGGAACATGCAGTCATGGGCAAAAATATTGGCATCCCTGCATTTTTGTAAGATAATGTACCACTTTGCCCAGAAAATTGTTGCAATTACAAATGTTTAGGCATTCTCATGTTTATTTCTTTTGTTTGTATCGGTATGATATAAAAATGTAAAAAATAATTGCATTCCAAGTTTGTGATGCTCCTGTAATTTGTAATTAAACTCACCTGTATTAATTAATAGATCTTAATGTTCCTGTGTGCACAACATTGTCCAGAAGTTTACAGCCCATGGCATTGTAGCTAATTTCCCTGGACATGGACGAAAATAGAAAAACTTGATCAAAGATTGAAACGAAGAATTGTTCGAATGGTGGATAAAGAACTTTGATCAACTTCCAGACAAATTCAAGGTGACCTTCAGGCACAGGGTACAACTGTGTAAGCTTGCACTATACGTTGCAATTTGAATAAAAAGGGATGCTATGGTAGGAGACCCAGGAGGACCCCACTGCTGACACAGAAACAAAAAAAGCCAGATTGGAGTTTGCAAAACTTTCCTGTGGAATCCAAAATCCTTTTGGGAGAATGTGCCGTGGACGGACAAAACAAAATTGCAGCTTTTTGGTAAAGCCCATCATTCTACTCTTTTCAGAAAAAGCAATGAGAACAGAATACAGTCCCTACAGTCACACATGGTGGAAGTCCACTGATGTTTTGGGGTTGCTTTGCTGCTTCAGCATGGCATTATGAAATCTGAAGACTACCAAAGAATTCTGGGGTGCAATGTAGGGCCCAGTGTCAGAAAGTTGGGTCTCTGTCAGAGGTCATGGGTCTTACAGCAGAACAATGACCCAAAGTCAAAAAGCACCCAGAAATGGTTTAAGACAAAGCGCTGGAGAGTACTGAACTGGCCAGCAATGAATCCAGATCTCAATCCCATAGAGCACCTGTTGAGAGATTTCAAAACAGCAGCTTGGAAAAGGAACCCTTCCAATCTGAGAGACATGGAGCAGTTGGAGAAAGAAGAGTGGTCCAAAATTCCAGTAGAGAGGTGTAAGAAACTCTGTGGTGGTTACAGGAAGCGATTGATTTCAGTTATTTTTTCCAAGGGGTGTGCTACCAAATATTAAATTGAGGATGCCAATAATTTTGTCCAGTCCATTTTTGAGGTTTTACATGAAATGTGTCAGATTTGGCTTTTTGTTTCTCCACTTTTTTGTTTCCTACAAATAAACAAAAGAAATAAACATGAGAATGCCTTAACATTTGTAATTGCAACAATTTTGTGGGTGAAGTGGTGCATTATCTGAAAATTAAAGAACCAAATTGTGGGTTGCCCAAAGAAATAAAAGAAAAAAAATTCCAATGGGGTCACTAGTTCTGAAGAGTCTGGAGACAACTAGGGATTTGTATCACTTTGAAGAGGTTTCCTCTCACTTCCTGTTTTGGCTATTGGACAGTAAATGAAGGGAAATCTCCCCAAAATCTGCTTTGAATTTGGCTGGATTTTTACACTAGATGACCTGATTGACAAATGTATACAGTTGACCACTCTAGTATTATTTAGTTTATAACATGTTATTTTTTTTTTCTTTATTTTAGATTGAACTCAAAGAAGTTGTTCATTGGCGTCGTGCTGTCATGGCTGTGAGCTTCAACTTAGTATCCCTCACACTCTCCACTATAGCCCTGCTTAGCAGCTATTGGTGTGAAGGTACCCAGAAAGTTCCAAAGCCTCTTTGTGGGAATGGTAAGGCTACCAAATGCATAGTTGTTCCAATAGCAGTGGAGAGTGTCAATGCATCTGGGCAAGATGTGGTCCATTATAGCTGGGAGACTGGAGATGACAGGTTTGCTTTCCGCTATTTTCATACCGGGATCTGGTATTCGTGTGAGGAGAACATCTTAGGTACAGGTAAGCAAACAATATGCTTTTTGTGTTAACAGCAGGCATTTGAAATTTTATAATGTTTAATGTTGGTCATTCTTGATTAAAGGTTAAGTACACTTTAAGTTTAATACCCTTTTTTCCTTTGCCATGCTGCATGCTTAGAGTTTTTGCTGATGCAGCTCAGTGCAATACTTACCTTCTGCCAGTCTGGATCTTCTTCCCACAGACTTTTATGGGGCTTTCTAACAAGGCAAAAGATGCTTGAGAGACAGTCCCAAAGAAGTACATATTATGGCGAGCTGGGGCTGCAAGAACTAAGTATGCACTTGGGATTGGGTGGGAATGGAGGAGGGACAAAAATGGTAAAATCATTTAGTTTGTAATATACCTAAAGTGATCCTGTCACAAAAGGGTTACTTCTACACACAGTTTGTAATGGAAGAGGCAATATATGTACCTTTCTGGAAAATCAAGTTTTGAAGTAGCACTTTCAGTAATACTTAATTGCCACTGGGTTTTGTTTTAATTATTTGCTATAAAAAATAGCCAAAAATTAAAAAAAAACCATGTGTTTCTTAGTTTCTGCTATACAGGTTTACAAATAAATAATTTTTCTTCATAAATATAGGCCAAAATGTACTATGCTACATTTCTTTGGTAAAAAAAAATACAAATAAGTGTATATTTGTTTAGTCTGTTTGAAAGTTCTGAAGTCTACAAAGATAGTATATATATATTGTAGGGTTTGGCTCAGGTGGGGGATCACCTTCCCTAGGAAAAAGGTAGTCCAGACGGCAGATATTTCTTAAAAATCTGACTTGTAGCCAGTTTTATTTAAAAGGTTCCATGCATCATTAACAAAATAGAACAGACAATAAACCCTCGCCATCCAGGCACTAACTAAACAGAGGAGATTTCCTATCTCACAGGTAAAGGGCTTCTCCCTGTCACCAACAAATCAAAACTGTATGCATACCTTTTCCTTTCTTGTGCAATGCAAACTCTTTCATTCACAGCTCTCCTGCTGGTGGTCATCAGTGGACCACAAAATCCGGTCTGGAGACGACTTTGCCAAAGTGGTCTGGAAAACCCGGACAAGACTCCACTTTAGTCTCCCAGATATGAGCGCATGCGAGGTGACACATAGCGTCCATCAATCACCTCGCCTTTCATAATGTTACAATATACATATATATATATATATATATATATATATATATATATATATACAGTTAGGTCCATGTATATTTGGACACAGGCACAATTTTGTTTTTTTCAGGTATTTACCAAAACATATTCAAGCTATAATTATAATAACTGGATATGGGCTGAAAGTGCACACTCTTGGGTGTAATTTGAGGGTATGTACATCCAAACTGGAGGAATGGTTTAGGAATTACAGCTCTTAAGAGTAGCCATCCCCCATTTTAAAGACACCAACAGTAATTGGACAATTGAATGAAAAACTGTTTCATGGCCAGGTGTGGGCTACTCCATCGTTATTTCTTCATCTTCGTCTTTGGTAATGTCCATTAGTTCCAGACTTCAGGCAGTCATTGCCAGTAAAGGATTCTCAACAAAATTTTAAAAATTAACATTTTATTTATATATATATTAATTTGTCCAATTACATTTGAGCCCCTGAAAATGGAGGAACTGTGTATAAAAATGGTTGCAGTTCCTAAAGTTTGTACCTGATATTTATGTTCAACCCCTTGAATTAAAGCTGAAAGTCTGCACATCAAATTCATTTGGATTGTTTCGTTTTAATGTATTCTGGTGGCATACAGAGCCACAGAGCCAAAAGTATGAAAATTGTGCTTGTGTCCAAATATATATGGACCTAACTGTATGTATATATATATATATATATATATATATATATATATATATATATATATATTTAAAAAATTATTAATCCTGATGTACTGCCTGCCTATCTCACTTCTTGAGGCCCTAAAATGCCAGGACAGTACAAATACCCACCAAATTGTGTCTCCTGCTATGACTGGTCATTGCTTCAGTTATTCTGTATGTTACAGGATCTGCGTATCCACATTGTTTTACCTATGCATAATTCTGCTGGTACAGTAATATTATTGTTGATTCTGTAAACTCTGTTCATTGTCTTGACAATAAAACTTGTTTGGATTTAAAAACAAAACCCAAATACCCACCAAATTACCCTTTTTCTGGAAAGTAGACAACCCAAGGTATTTAGTAAAAGTAATGGTGAGTTTTTTAAAGTTGTAACTTTTTTGGCACAATCAAGAAATTACATTTTTTTTTTTCACAAAGTTGTAATTTTAAGTTATTTCTCACACACAGCAAAGGCATACTTATAATTACACCCCAAAACACATTCTACTTTGACTCCCAAGTATGGGAATACCACTCTTGTGAGACTTTCAGTCTAGATGCATGGAGGGGCTCAAAATACAAGGAGAAGAGCATCGTTGGGCTTTTAAGGAACATAAATTAAGCATCAGATTTCCTGATTACCTGTCACATTTTTGGAGGGAAACATCCACAAAATTACCCCATTTTGGAATGCAAACACTCCAAGGTATATTCTGAAAGGCATAATGAGTATTTGGAATGTCATTTTTTGCCATTTTTTTTTGAAAATGAAGACAAGAAAATATTCTTTTTACCACAAAGTTGTCAATTAATAAAAATATTTTTAACACACAGCATTGATATACTTAGAATTACACACCAAAAAACATTATGCTACTTCTCCCGAGTATTCACATGCTTGAGACCTTTTCACAGCCTAGCCACATAAAGGGGTCCAAAATCCAAGGAACACCTTCATGCATTCCAGGGACATAAATTACATATTTTGAGGCCCCGGAGTACCAGGATAGTGGACACACCCACAAAATCACCACATTTTGGAAAGAAAACACCCCAAGACTCCTTTCTAAGAGATATTGTAAGTCTTTTAAAGACTTCTTTTTTTGCCAGTGTTTGGAAAATGCGGAAAGAACATGAAAATTATTTTTGACACAAAGTGTCAATTTAATAGGCAATTTCTCACACACAGCATGGGCATACTTAGAATTGCACCCCAAAACACATTCCACTCCTCCTCCTAAGTATGGCGATACCACGCATGTGAGACTTTTTAAGTGTCTGGACTGATTATGTACCAAACATTGTATCTTATGTATCACACAAATCAACCAACTGTGTCAATAAAAAGTATGTACTGTAATGGTTGCATCTGTAAGTGATCAGGGAATATAGCTTTGTGTAGCATCACCTACAGCAATCTCAGTTCCTATAAGCTAAGCAAGCCTTGCCTACCGGTACATGGCTGCCCTCAGGAATTCCATGTTCACTGGCCAAGAAGTACAGGAAGCAGAAGAAAGGAATAAAAAGGAATTCTGTTGATTCCAGGAGTGCAGTTGTCTGCAGGGAATGGTTGGGATTGGGGTCTTACAAGAACATAGCCAAAGGGATGTGCAGGTGGGTCAGTTTAGGCACACACAGACATATGGTCAGCAAACAGGCAAAGGATTGGTCCAATAAATCAAACAAAAAGTAAAGTGCTTACCACCACCACACAATACAAACCATTGGTGTAATCTGCAAACATCTAATATAGTGTACACCTGTCCGGCTGTGACATCACCAGATACTGTAAGTGAAGACCCAAGTCCTGCCTCAACATTTTTCATCATGAGGCGTCCTCAGGAAGCTCTCCAGCTGCCATATTACTGATGTCTTTTATCCCCCCTACAGTGGATATAAAAAGTCTACACACCCCTGTTAAAATGTCAGGTTTCTGTGATGTAAAAAATGAAACAAAGATAAATCATTTCAGTACTTTTTCCACCTTTAATGTAACCTATAAACTGTACAACTCAGTTGAACAACAAACTGAAATTTTTTAGGTGGAGGGAAATAAAAATAAAAAACTAAAATAATATGGTTGCATAAGTGTGCACACCCTTAAACTAACTAATACTTTGTTGAAGCACCTTTTGATTTTCTTACAGCACTCAGTCTTTTTGGGTATGAATCTATCAGCATGGCACATCTTGATTTGGAAATATTTGCCCACTCTTCCTTTCAAAAACACTCCAAATCTGTCAGATTGTGAGGGCATCCCCTTGTGCACAGCCCTCTTCAGATCGCCCCGCAGATTTTCGATCGTATTCAGGTCTGGGCTCTGGCTGGGCCATTCCAAAACATTAATCTTCTGGTGAAGCCATTCCTTTTGTTGATTTGGATGTATGCTTTGGGTCATTGTCATGCTGAAAGATGAAGTTCCTCTTCATGTTCAGCTTTCTAGCAGAAGCCTGAAGGTTTTGTGCCAATATTGACTGGTATTTGGAACTGTTCATAAATCCCTCTACTGTGACTAAGGCCCCAGTTCCAGCTGAAGAAAACCACTCAAACCATGATGCTGCCATCACCATGCTTCACTGTGGGTATGGTGTTCTTCATCAGACTGTAACACATTTTCCGACATGCTTTTGGGAGACTTCAGATGTGTTTTTGCAAAATTTACCAGCCTTGGGTGTTTTTATTCATAAGAAATGCTTCCATTTTGCCACTCTACCCCATAGCCCAGACATATGAAGAATACGGGAGATTGTTGTCACATGTACCACCCAGCCAGCAATTGCTAGATATTCCTTCAGCTCCTTTAATGTTGCTGTAGGCCTCTTGGCAGCCTCCCAGGCCAGTTTTCTTCTTGTCTTTTCATCAATTTTGGAGGGACATCCAGTTCTTGGTAATGTCACTGTTACGCCACATTTTCTCCAATTGATGATGACTGTCTTCACTGAGTTCCATGGTATATCTAATGCCTTGGAAATTCTTTTGTACCCTTCTCCTGACTAATACCTTTTAACCATGGGATCCCTCTGATGCTTTGAAAACTCTCTGCAGACCATGGCTTTTGCTTTAGGATGCGACTAAGAAAATGTCAGGAATGACCTACTAGAACAGCTGAACTTTATTTGGGGTTAATCAGAGGCACTTTAAATGATGGCAGGTGTGTACTGACTCCTGTTTAACATGATTTTGAATGTGATTGCTTTATTCTGAACACAGCTACATCCCCAGTTATAAGAGGGTGTGCACACTTATGCAACCACATTATTTTTTTATGTTTACTTCCCCCCCTAAAAGATTTCAGTTTGTTTTTCAATTGAGTTGTACAGTTTATAGGTCACATTAAAGGTGGAACAAGTTCTGAAATTATTTATCTTTGTTTAATTTTTTTTACATCACAGAAACCTGACATTTAACACGGGTGTGTAGACTTTTTATATCCACTGTATATCAGGGGTGTCAAACTGGTGGCCCTCCAGCTGTTTCCAAGCTACCCCAATTTGCTAGGACAGTCCCAAGATTTGATTTAAATCACGGTGATCTAAATCTGTGCTGAATCTCAGAGCCCAGTACCAGGACAAGTTCCGGCACTGGTCTCCAGGTACTTGCCTAACAGTGAGCTACAGCAACTAGCCTGACAGGGGTGTGCTAGCTAACCCTGCATCTCTTGTAGGGTGCCCCGGTCCCACACACAGTGATCGCCTACTCTGTGACAGCCAGCATCACTGACTGCCTGCACACCTCACAGCAGAGCAGAACTCACTGAAGCTGCCTATTACCTTGAATAGAACATTTCCACTCTGTAAAAGAAACATAGTGAATACAAGGAAGGTGCCCTTAGGTGTATTTTTTCAGTACCCTTGGCCTGCCATGTAGAACCTCTTGCGATTTTCTGTTGGTTGTTTAATATGATAGATAGGCTTCAGCAGTGGAAGGGGGTAGGAGGTTGGTCAATGGATTAACCTTATACAGTATATGCATATTAGAATAACTCCCATTGAAGAATAACAAAGCTTGGCTGTAAAATGGGCTTAGTAAATTGGTGACTCAGCAAATAAGCAATGAATAATTCATGAGACACTTTGTTACCACTTGATAAATATGCTCCTATGTATTTAATATAAGTGGTCCTACATAACATTAATTCAATTAGTATCATTACCAATGTAAAATTGTGGTAAATTTTCATAGTATGTTTATGTTGTACTTTGTTACAATATACAGTATATATATATATATACAGTATATTATAGAAATGCTTAGCAGTCCATTAATGGCTTACAGTTTAGCATAATTCAATGTTGCAATGATGTACTTATTGTAATTATTGCAGATGAGAAGTGCAGAAGTTTTTTAGAATTAACGCCACCAGCTGAAAGAGGTATGTATATTTTTTATGTCTGTTTATATCATATTCCAAGGACGTTGTTTTAACTACTTTTATGAGATGAATACTGGTGTAATCATTAAGGCTAATTCAATGCCAACTGCTATGTTTTTAGGAAAGTAAATTGTTAAATGATTTCCATCCTTAAATTTGATTAAAAAATAAGTAGCACACTAATTACCAGTACATTACATAATTTATGTGCCAAAGATTGATTTACTACTGATGTTGATGATGTTTTTCAGTTTTAGGCACACTCTGTTATGAAATTTTTTTATTGATGGTTGTTATATTAGGGTTTTTTGTTGTACCATTTACAACATGAAGAATTTCATTTTATATTAAATTGTTTGTTTTCATGTGTATTATTTCAGTTTTATGGTTAATGGTGTAATGGTATCTACTAACCATGTGTCAATTCCAAAAATGAACCCATTACATATTATCACTTACTATCTGATATTTCTTTATCTTTGTTTCTAGGTATGTATACATGTAGGTGTATATGTGTGTATTTTTGAATGCACATATATGTATATATGTGCATAGTTGCCAACATTTCAAAAAAAGTTTTGGGAACACTTTTTCTTCCTGTATGACCAGAAAGACAGTGTAGGTGGAGCAGTATGTTAATTAGGGGTGGAGCATTCATTAATGGGTGTGACCTAATAAGAAAAAGAGGATTATGAAGCGTGCTGCGCCAAAAATGGGTGTGATTTAAACTCCGCTAAAAATTGGGCGTGTCTTAAAGGGGGTGTGGTTAAACAGAGTCTGAGATTCTCTTGGTATCCCCCCCATGCAATTTTGCTCTCCACCCCAACATCCCAAAAAACAAATAAACACAATCATAGACTTATCTAAAAAAAACTTAATGCAAACATAAAGAACTGGTTCACACACACTGATTGTTTGCTAGAAGTTACAGCACATCATTACCACTCACTGATTGGTTTCTAGAGGTTACTGCAGTTAGTACAGGACTATGGTCTGAGACTGCAGGCATAGTACAGGAGTTGGTAAGAGACTGCAGGCATAGTAAAGGAGATGGTCAGAGACTGCATACATGGGATGGTCAGAGACTGCAGGTGTAGTACAAGAGATGGTCAGAGACTACATACCTGGCACAAGAGATGATCAGAGACTGCAAACAGTGGCACATGGGACGGTCAGAGACTGCGTACAGGGCACAAGAGAAGGTCAGAGGCTGCAGACACGGCGCAAGGGATGGTCAGAGACTGCGGAAACAGTGCAAGGGATGGACAGAGGCTGCAGACATGGTGCAAGGGATGGACAGAGACTGCGGGCATGGTGTAAGGGATGGACGGAGACTGCGGACATGATGCAAGGGATGGACAGAGACTGCGGACATGATACAAGGGATGGACAGAGACTGCGGACACGGCGCAAGGGATAGACAGAGACTGCGGACATGGCACAAGGGATGGATAGTGACTGCAGACATGAGGCAAGGGATGGACAGAGACTGCGGACACAGCACAAGGGATGGACAGAGACTGCAGACACGAGGCAAGGGATGGACAGAGACTGCGGACACGGCACAAGGGGATGGACAGAGACTGCAGACACGAGGCAAGGGATGGACAGAGACTGCGGTCATGATGCAAGGGATGGACAAAGACTGCAGACACGAGGCAAGGGATGGACAGAGACTGTGGTCATGACGCAAGGGATGGACAAAGACTGCAGACATAGGACAAGGGATAGAGAGACTGCGGATACGGTGCAAGGGATGGACAGAGACTGCAGACCTGGCACAAGGGATGGACAGAGACTGTGGACACGGCGCCTGAAATTTACAAACTGTCCCTAAACATACAAACAGTTGGCAACCCTGCATACACACTTACTACATTCACACATGCTACATACACACATGCTAAATATACATACACTACATACGTCCCACCAGCACAGCACTTACCTTCATTGCTCACGCTGCCCTAGGTAAAAGGAGGGGCCGGGCCCGATTTGTGAGGCTGACCACACCCCCTCCCACCCGCTCACACTGCCAAGCCTCACGGGGAGTCCTCAATCAGAGAGCCTGGACAGAGGAGGGAGGGAGGAGGAGGGAGAGGGAAGGACGAGTGATCAGTCCTCACATCTCTCTGTTCAGAAGCACAAAAATTGTGGCGTCTGCTGCCTGGTACAGGGGACACGCAATCCGGGAAATATTTCCTATTTTCGGGACGGAGCCTGGGACGAAGACCGGCTGTGACAGGGCTGTAGCCTCCCTAGCAGTCTGATTATGTCCATATTTCTGTGCTCAAAACGGTACTTTTTTTGCATGGAAATATGTAGTTTTTTTTTTTTTTTTTGGTGAGATTTTTTTTCTATTTCAATGGTTTTGATTAATTTTTAAACAGTATAAAAGAGAGGCAATAAAACATGCCCACGCAGGGGCTATCAATTGCACAGATAAAAAAAAATGCAAAATAAAAAAAAAAAGGAAAAACAGTGCTCTAATGCCAACAGGGCAAAAGGTACGCCCACACAGAGGCTATCAATGGCACATAAATTACAAAACATTACTGTAACTGACTATAACAACTAAATGCAGCAGGCCAGTCACACCAAAACAAAGAAAGAATGAAAAAAGAAGAAAGAGGGGAAGAAAAAAAAAAAAGGTGAGGGGCAAGGGGCAGGGGTCCAAGAGCGCCAATACCGAAAGCCATTACATCCCCAGACTAGCCGGGGAGAGTGTGGGAAAGGCATATTGCAACCACGGCTCCCATATTTTCAAAAATTTATGTTGGGAGTCGTTGCGGATACTCGACATCTGTTCGTTGAGCATCATAGTGGTCATACGATCCCGCCATACTGGTCATACGATACCGCCATAAGGTCATACTGGACTCTTCCAGGCCTGAGCAATTGTTCTAGTGGCCGATAAAAACAGATAGGAAGCCAACTTCTGCTGATGAGCCAAGAGGCCCGGTATGGGGCAATGAAGCAAAGCATACCGAGCATCCCGGCGGATGGAGAGATGGAACAAGGTGAAAAGGAGGCCAAACACACGAGACCAAAAACGAAACAGTCTCGGGCATGACCACCAGATATGCAATACATCTCCACGATGGCCACAACCCCGAAAACATTGATCACTACAGGCAGGGTTAGCCCGGGCCAACCGAGCCGGAACCCAGTACCAGCGAAACAATACCTTATAGGCTGCCTCCAGCGTGGTCGTATTAAATGAGCATTTAGCTATGAGTGACCAGGCCTTATTCCAGTCCTCCGGATCCACGGCCACTCCCAGGTCGCGCTCCCACTGAACGACATATGAAAGAGAAGTATGCGGCGAGCGTCTATTCAAAGCTGCATAAAGAAGGGAAGTAAGGCCTGGGGCACCTGGCCGTTGTTGGCAAAGCTGTTCAAAGGCATATTTCTGGTACGGGAAGACAGACGTGCCCCGCAATGAGATCAGCCAATGCCGCAATTGAAGGTAACGAAAAAACTCCGCCGGAGGGACATCCCGTGACTCCCGAAGAGAATTCCAGGTAGGGAAGGACCGAGAGGTCAAAAAGTGTCGTACCTGGGAAAAACCATTGGTCACCCACCAAGAAAACGCCCTTGGTTGATCTAAACCTGGTGGGAAGAGGGGGTTGTTAGTGATTGGGAGCAATGGCAAAAAAGGTGACATTAGGCCACTGGAGTAACGTACCGAGTCCCACACTTGCAAGCCATGGAGCACAATCGGACTCAGTGCCGTGGGACGCAGGGCAGAGGGAAGCCATAGAAGTGTCGATATCGCAATAGGGGCACAATTAGGTAGTTCCAGGAGGACCCAGAGAGGTATGTCTGAGGAAGCATGCAACATAGATAGCGGGGCGATCTGGCTCGCCTGATAATATTTAGTAACATTGGGAACCCCAAGGCCACCCTGAAGTCTATGGACAAAAAGCGTAGTTCTGGAAACTCTGGGGCGTTTATTGGCCCAGATAAAACGCATAATCTTTGCCTGAAGCAACCGAAGGAAATGAGGAGGAACCCGCACTGGGAGGGTGCGAAAATAGTATAGCAGTTTCGGCAAGATGGTCATTTTTACTGAATTAATCCGTCCAATCCATGACAGGTGTGGAAATTGCCAAGAATGCATAAGAGAGGACACAGAGCGAATCAGTGGATAGTAGTTTGCAGCAAACAGTGAGTCATAGGTGGGGGTCAAGCTGATGCCTAGATATTCAAGAGAAGAAGAAGCCCATTTATAAGGGAAGTGGGACTGTAGGTGCGAAATCAAATCTGAGGCCAAAGTAATATTAGGCGCGACAGTCTTTATCCAAATTGATACAGAGACCCGAAATCAAGGAGAAGCGCTCAAGAACCTGTTGCAAATTTGGAAGCGTCGTCAAGGGGTTAGTGAGAGTCAAGAGGGCATCGTCTGCAAAAAGGTTCAACTTGAACTCCTGTCCAGCGTATGGAACCCCCGAAATATTGCAATCAGTCCGGAGCGCCATTGCCAACGGCTCAAGCGCCAGGACAAAGAGTGCTGGGGACAGGGGGCATCCCTGTCTCGTACCTCGCCAAATAGGAAAGGAATCTGAGAAATACCCAGCGTATTTAACGGAAGCCAACGGGGAAGAATACAAGCGAGACAGCACAAACCGCAGATAGTCCCAGGATAGAGAATCAAAGGCTTTATATATGTCTAAGGACAGTAAGAATCCCGGTATTTTCTGTTGTTGTAGAAAATGTATAAGATGAACCACCTTACGAACATTATCACCCGCCTGTCTCCCAGGGATGAAACCCACTTGATCCCTGTGAATCAGGCTACGCAAATATTTATTGATACGACACCTGAGAATCTTGCCTAATATCTTCAGGTCTTCATTAAGAAGAGAAATGGGCCGAAAGGCTTGCGGTTCCTGCACATCATCGGCTGTCTTAGGAATCATAGAGATATGAGCTCTAAGCGCGTCTGGAGAGGGCAAGGAGCCCTGTCGTAACTCATTAAAATAATCAGTCAAGAAGGG